AGGTGAAAGGAAACAAATTTAGAGAAGAAGCTTTTTCGGTCGCTACCCAGATTCGAACCCAGGACCTTTGAATGAGAGGCCAACACCTTAACCTCTAGGCCACGAGAGCCCCCTTTCAGTGTTTGCCCTTGGGCTTATTAATGGTGAATGTAAAGCAGGGTCTGATGGGAAATTGCCTGCGTTTAAATTGGAAGGGGAATTTTGTGTCGGATGGTTGAAGAGGTATGCTTGGAATAAAATGGCGCTCTCCTTTATATGGCCCAACAGCAATTTTTACCTCCACAACATTTCTCATGGCAAAGCAGCACCCAATGGCCGAATCCTGCTCGACCCACGAACAGTGATCGCCAGGTGCAAGGAGAGCCTTCACGACCAAGAGGAGACAGACCCCCACAGACTCACCACAATAAAAGAAAAGTGTGCGCGGTGCACAGAGAAAAACAGTTTGCTCCGAGGAGTGGTCAGGCGTGTCTCAAACCAGCTCCTCATGGAGACAATTAGCAGGAAGACCCTGGGGTGGATGCTGGAAAGGAGAGATGAGCAGCTAAGGACATGTTCACCTGCTATGATTCTAGCCCTGGATTCAAGAAATCCAAGTAATCCAACATTTTTCATACACTCAAAACAACACACAGTGTGCCATTCATCGGCTGCGGCGGGTTCAGAGATCTCAAGATCATAATTGGCATGCCAACTTTTAATCCAAGTACGTGAGGTAGGAGACCTTATACCTCAATTGAATTGGGGAATTTCACCGGGAACTGGACGGATTTCTCTTCATCCACAACATTGTTGATTGGGGTGTATGTTGTTTTAGGGCCTGGCAGTTTCAGTGACAGCATATTGTTGATTGCACTGACTCTTTAATTTAAAGGGGTAATGATCGCTCTTTGCATGAGCGATTCTATATTTGTAAAATGTTCACTCACGCCTGAAAACACAATCAAATAATAATTCGGCAGTCTCCACCATAATAATAATAATATAATAAATAATAAATAGCATTTGTATAGCGCATATCCCCCCTCAACAGCAGGCTCTATGCGCTTTACACTATATTATTACCCCAGCAGAACATAGAACACTCCGAAACATTCTCAGCTTCCCGGGAAGCATACAGTGAAAGCAGCTGATTAAGCCCTCAAACACTAACAAACAGACAAGTTCCAAACCCACTGAGAGCGATCACATCTGGATGAGCACTTGTTAGAATCGTACCATTTCCGAGCTGTAACAGCATGTCGGCAAACAATCTTCCTTCCTCACTCCCATTATTTGCAGAACTCTTACATGCGTCGTATGTTGCCATAGTGGAGATTTCTTCAGGCAGGCATTCCCAATGTTAGCTCTTGTGTCTTGAGGAACAGTATTTGGCGGAAATCTCCACAGAGAAAAGTAGGCAGACCACCCACAGGCATCTCGGATGATCGAGCGTCACGCAAAGTTCTATCCATACATTCCAGCCCTTTTTTAAGTAGCATAGGGGATTCATCTGCTATCAAGAGTGTTGCCTCTTTAAAAAGACATTAGATCTGCCTTGATTAACTCCTCTATTTCTATAGATCCACAATAATTATGCGTTAGTAGACTCTTCTTAGATCTGTCTTGATCTGGTTCGGCCTTTGGCACGATCTTATCTTCACAATCACAAAATGCAGCTGACCTCTAGATCTACATTATTGCTTTAGATCTGCCTTGATTAACTCCTCTATTTCCATAGACCAACAGTAATAATGCGTTAGCAGACTCTTCTCGGATCTGCCTTGATCTGGTTTGACCTTGGGCAAGATACAATCAAGTAGATATAATCACAAAACGTAAATAGAATCCAGGTCTAGTGGGCCTTCCTTCTGTGTCCCAAACGATTTTCTGATCCTTATTTAGATGTCTAGATCTGGATCAAGTACAACACCCAAACGGACGGCCAGAAGATCGAATAATTACAAAACATAAATCGAATCCAGCCGGGTAAGTGGCAGGCCTACCTTCTGTGTCCCAAACAATTATCTGATCTACTTTCGATCTGGATCAAGTACAACACATAAACAGACGATCCAGATCTGGGTTTGCCTTACACCATCATAAAAAGCATTAAGAATTTAATAATAATTCACGAAAGGGCAGCTACACTGTAAAATGAATATACCGACGTCTTTAAAGTCACAGAGGCAGTGTCTAGCTGTAAAACCCAGGCAGAGAGATCACTTCCGGCACTTCCGCTGTGAAGGACAGCTACGCAGATTTGTTTCGTTTCTCGGTGGAATAATCAATAACGCCAATGAAGGACGGGGACTTTTTGTCTAATATGTTTGTCTAAATTCAGGAAATTAATTTTTTAAAAATAATCGGGCTCCGTCATGGGGACTTATCTATCTTTTTGCAGGTACTTGCCAACTTTCAACTCTGTAGATGTCGTAGTTTTACGGGAAAAGTGACACACGTGTTTCCAAGTTGCCAAATATATAATAGATTAATATTACTATTATTATAATTTTTATTACTATTATTATTATTATTATTACATATTATTATATATTATTATTATTATTATTATTATTATTATTATTATTATTATTACTGTTATTATTATTATTATTACTGTTATTATTATTATTATTATTATTATTATTATTATTATTATTATTATTATTATTATTATTATTATTATTATCATTATTGTTGTTGTTGTTGTTATTATTATTACTATCATTATTATTATAATTTTAAAAATATTTTTTAAAAATTATTATTAAAAAAAAATCATTTTTATCGTCATTCAGATTCACTGGAACAACCCGATGAAGGTCAAAGGTTATCACGACTCAAGTGGTATGCGGTTCTATTATCAGCCGGCGAGGCCTGAGGTTCAAGACCTGCTGACCTTTATGACTGGACAGAGACTGCTAGAGATACCGCCTGGTACTGCTCCTTGTTGTTGTTCATGATGTTGTTTTGTGTGTGTGTGTGTGTGTGTGTGTGTGTGTGTGTGTGTGTGTGTGTGTGTGTGTGTGTGTGTGTGTGTGTGTGTGTGTGTGCGCGCGGTAGCCTATCCACTCGAGATGTTTGGAGCCCCGAAGAGTGTGCTCTTCGCCAGGGCCACCGCCTCTCTTGAGCAGCGGGTGAGGCAGTCCAACCTCCCTAAATCCTCCCCAAAAGAGATGCCATTGTCGGACCTCCGTGGCGCGGCATATCTGAAGCCAGTGCTCCAAATCTTGGGGCTCCTCGCTGTACAATGGACAGATTGGTTCCGATGTTTTGTCTATTCTGTTTTGTAGGTCCGCAGCCCAGAGCAGTGACCGGTCTTGATTTTTGCCAGTAGTGACTGGTCGTTTCAAGACTTAATTAGAGCCTCCCGTTTTAAGGGAATTGCCCAGTACATTTTCTTTGTCATCGTGTGGGGTATCGGAGGGTCTTTTGCTATTATTATTATTGTTGTTGTTATTGTTGTTGTTGTTGTTGTTGTTGATGGTTTTTTGTTGTTGTTATTGATGTTGTTGTTGTTTTTGTTGTTGCTGTTGTTGTTGTGGTTGCTGGTATGTTGTTGTTATTGTTGTTGTTGTTGTTATCTATCTATCTATCTATCTATCTATCTATCTATCTATCTATCTATCTATCTATCTATCTATCTATCTATCTATCTATCTATCTATACATTATGTATATGCTATATTATATACATATATATATATATATATATATATATATATATATAAATATATAAAAAAAAAGAGATATAGTATCTCTGATCTCCTCCTATGTTTGTGTGTGTATATATATATATATATATAAAATAAATGTGATATGATATCACTGATCTCCCCCAATGTTTGTATATACATTTGTTGTTATATATATATATATATATATATATATATATATATATATATATATATATATATATATATATATATATATGTATAATAAATGTGATACGATAATTATGATCTCCCCCTATGTTTGTGTGTGTACAGGTGAGCCCAGCGTGGAACATACCTCTACGTGCCCCAGCTCGTGCACCTGGTCTCTCTTCTCCAAACCTGCCTACCTCGTGCACTCCTTCAACCACATGCACTACCTAGGTACGTACACACTGACCAACGGGCACACTGATGTACACACAGATGTAGGTAGTGACAGACAAATCATCTGACAGACACGCACTACCTAGGTACGTACACACTGACCAACAGGCACACCGATGTACACACAGAGGTATGCAGTGACACACAGACAAATAAACCGACGTTACTTACAGACATGCACTACGTACACACTGACCAACGGGCACACTGATGTACACACAGAGGTATGCAGTGACACACAGACAAATAAACTGACGTTACTGACAGACATGCCCTACGTACACACTGACCAACGGAAACACTGATGTACACACAGATGTATGCAGTGACACTGACAGACATGCACTACCTAAGTATGTACACACTGACCAATGGACACACTGATGTACATAATGCCAGACATACACCTTGACGCTCGCACAGATATATGTAATGACGGACGCACACACTGATAGACATACACACTGACGCACGCATATATTTATATTATGACGCACGTACACACTGACAGACGTACACACTGACACACACATAGATTTATGTAAAATCGGACAAAAAAATGATTCACTGACAGACATACACGTTTACGATTGTTCAATGCTTTACGACCTTATGAATCTAGTTTTTATCTCTCAGGGGGAGGCCTGCTACGAATGTGGCCTACCCCTGCTGAATGGTTGCCCAGAACATTCTATATAAAAAGTATTTGCCTCAGGCTCTGTCTGTAACCACAACCCGAAACAACATGACTACTGGAATTCCATGGTCTTTAGAATTATTTTGATTTTTTCTTCTTTTAGGGGTGGGTGGGTGTGGGGGCAGGGAGTGTGGTCGAAAATTACAAGGGGGGAGGGGGAGGGGCATAATTACAAAATTTCCCTCTTTCTCTCTCTCTCTCTCTCTCTCTCTCTCTCTTCT